GAGCTGAAATTTTTTCTATGCACTATTGATTTGGGTAAAAATACGATAATTTAATTATAACTAATTAAAATTAATTGACTGAAACTAATTATTCAAAGAATTACAGATACAGCCATGTTGGTTCATTTTCACCGGTTTCTGACGCCATCTTAGATTCGTCTCTATTGTTTTAACAATGTGACTGTGTTAAAACAAAGACAAAAGTTGGCGTCGAAAATCTGTTTTTCAGCCAAACTAGCCAAACCGGGTTTGCATTGTTACATAAATGCAGACAAATCATGCTCTTTTTTCAATTCCTACTATTAGTTCACTCTCTCCCTATATATATATATATTTACTATATATGACATATATCTTATCCAAATTCAACGTTAAAAATACTTTATTCATCATTCAAGAAAATTACTGAAAATTTTGAAAATGAATTGTTATGTATATAAAGATATCTTCAAATTTCATCGTGAATAAAATACCTCTTTCATCCAATCAAGTTCAAAATAAATGCTTTTAAACTTGTATTGCATTGAAGTTACTACAATTTTTCAAAGATTATAATTCAAATTAAAAAATTTCTTAATACTGGTTTTGAAACCTACTTAGATTTGTCTCCATTTTTGTAACAATGTAACTGTTAAAACAATGACAAAAGTTGGGGTTGAAAACCAACTTTTCAGCTATACTAGCCAAACTAGGTGTGCATTGTTACAACAAGGCAGACAAATCATGCTCCTTTTTTAATTCCTACTATTAGTTCCCACAATCTCTCCTAATATATATATATAATTATATATATATATATACATCGTTCAAATTTTCAATCGTTAATAAAATACTTTCTATTCATCCACTCAAAGTAGGAACTGATTAATTTTTTTTTTATATTACTTGTTTTATTATTTCTGAACCCAGAGGATTCTTTGCTCGGGAAATCAGTCTAAAGATTTACGGTTTCAGTAATATTTCTTTGATTAAATTTAAATATGATGACCAATTATGGATTAGGAACACCTTCTTGTAATGAGAATGAAATTTTGATTGGTTCTGTGAATCTATAGGTATACCTTCTACTAGGGATGACGATTCTTTCCGAAAAAGATCGATTTTTAAATCGATTCGAATCATAACCTGATGAATCGATTCACAAAAAAAATCGAGATCTAAAAGGTCGATTTCAATTCTCCATTTACCATGTAAATATAAATCCATTTTTATGAAAGACAAGAAAGATACCATGATAAACGATATCTTATCAGTAAAATCAAGGAATTTTTAGTTCGGGGAATTCGGCAATTATAATTATTTTTATTACCATATAAAAAAGTATCAGGTATAAAAGAAGACAGTTATTTACTAAATGTATTTGTTACAAAGTTTAGAAAATAGATAATATAGCTTATAGTTCCCAATGCTTAATATCTAAGCTTTTTAAAAACAACAGTCTGTCAAGTCTACTGGGATCCAAATGGTTCCGCTCATCACTTGCGATGTTGCCTGCAATCGAAAAAATGACCACGATAAACCAATCTGACAAAAATCAGATGACCCACGATACTTATATACATCATGGCTATTGAGTGAACGTGATGATAAATAGAGTTTTTTTGGTTCTTGCGAGTAAATTAACCCTTTAACCGCCAACACCGTAATATTACAGGTTTTAAAGATAGTACATTCAACTATATATATATATATATATATATATATATATATATATATATATATATAATTGTAAATAATTTTATGATTGTTACAAAACAGAAAAAAATCGAATCTCGATTTTCTAGGATGAAATATCGATTCACTGAATCGATTCAGTGCTGCATATCGATTTAAAAAATCGATTTTTTTGGTCAGAGAAATCGGTTTTCCTATTAATCGATCTCAGATCACCATCCCTACCTTCTGCTACTCACGGTATTTAATACGCATTGTTATCCATCGAAAATGATTAATTTAAAATTGTGAAAATCCACGGTTTAGGATCAATAAAAACATGGTGGTTTGAATCTTTAAAAGCACCAATAGGTTAGTAAGGAATGTTTTAAACTTAAAATCTATTGAAATTTGATGAGAAACCACTATGGTTGGAATATGGAAAGGAATATGTTTGATTTAAATAATTTTCAGAGTATATTAACAGTAGATAGGAATCGTTTAGTTGGTATACCAGTACGGATTCAATCAAGAAGCTAATGAAATATACAATACTAGCGGTCCCGACAGACGTTGTTCTGTACACACGTCTTAAATCCGAAAATTATAAACTTTTTTGAATAAGTTGTAACAATCTGCACCGTTTTTATGAAATTTTTACAAAGAAAGTTATTACAATACCTGACTTCATCACATGTACAGTTACCCCAATTCGACCTATCAATTGCATGTGAGTATGTATTTACTATGAACTAAGTTGAATAAAGAATCTATTCTGAATAGAAACTTAAACTTGTTTTGATTAAAGGGTAAAAAAAGATAAAACTCGAGCTATTTTCATAACAGGTGTATTTTTTTAATGCACAAAAAATAAATTTATCGTAATGTCATTGAATGTATAATGTTTTTGGTTAATCCTTGAGGGGTATAAACAAACAAATGCGATGGTTTGCCAAACCTCGGATATGCAACATATAATTGGCCATGCGAAAAGAAAGGGTTTTCTAAATCTAAGCCACAAATTGTCATTTGTGACTTATTAATGGTCATAGCAAATGCCAAGCGAACTGGAAATTGCAAACATTTGAATGGGTAGGTGAGTCTGAAAGAATCATTGGGATCTGTGGCAGAAATACAACTTCATCTTGAAGTTTGCCGCTCAAAATAGTGGCCTCAAGAATATTGTCCATGATTTTTTTATGAACAATCGCGCGCCTTTACATAATTTTTGCGCATTTTTAACTAATTATGATATCGGACCGAATTGTGAATCTAAATCATTCTCGAATCCACTTGAACCCACACAAAAAATATCATCCAAATCGGTCCAGACGCTTAGGAGGAGTTCACACAGTCACATACACAGAATTATACTATATATAAAGATATATGCCGTATCGTGGCGAAATGAATAATCTTTCCGATTCTGTAATTATTTTTTGTCTGATTTTGATGGAAAAATTAGATTGCAATTTTAAAAACGGTGAAAATATATTGGAAAATTCTCCCCTCTTATTTCTTTTTTTCTTCTTGCCGCGCGTTAGCAGAATAAACAGCACACATGGGTAAAACAATTATGCATTTTAAGGTTTTTAATTAATATCCTTTTAACTAATTGAGATATTGGACCGAATTGTGAATCTAAACCATTCTCGAATCCACACAAAAAATGTCATCAAAATCGGTCCAGTCGCTTAGGAGTTCAGTCACATACATATGCACAGAAGAATTATATATATAAAGATTATTTGAAAAGATAATAATTAATATATATAAAGATTATTTGAAAAGATAATTAAAAACGGTAAAAAGCTTGATTCGTCTGCATTTTTGTAACAAAAGAAGCACCCGGTTTGTCCAGTTTGGTTGAAAATCATTTTCGGACGCAAACTTACGTCATTTTTAATAATAACGTTGTTACAACAGTCATGAATATTCAGTTGAATATTTTAATGTTTTACTAATATCTCTTTAACTAATTACGCATATGGGACCGAATTGTGAATCTTAAACCATTTCTTGAATCCACCTGAATCTTACACAAAACTTCATCAAAATGTCCAGCTGCTTAGAGTTCAGTCATACACGCAAAAAAAAAAAAAAATTATATGTATATATAAAGATAGAGAGAGTGACATAATAGAAGAGAGGAACTGAATTAATGAAACCTTAAAGTTTTGAATTACAAAAAGAGAGCGACTTATAAATATCAAACACTGCACACATTTCAGTATTTTAAGGTGACTACGTTCGGAACCGTGGTTTTGAAAAAAGTGTATAAATGAATAATTTTTTGATATTTAGTGTCAGTTGAATTAGAATATACATAAAAAATTGTTTTAAGAATATTATTAAAATAAAAAAAATTATTTAAATGAAATCTTTTGGCAAAAAATGAAGACTGACGAATTTTCAAAACATTTTTTTTTTTCATGAAAAATGTTTCGACAATAATAGTATTTTGTCTATACGTAACCAGGATTTCTGTACTGGAGTTAAAGTAGTAGTTTTGAAAAATTCACATCATTTTCAAAGTTACGATTAATTGAATATAACAGGTGTTCTTTGTCAAAATTTTGCCAATTTGATGAAGAAATCTACTTCTAAATTATAAATTTTAAAAATCTTAGTTCAACCCCCGGTAGAGAGGTCCTAGCTGTAAATAAAAATAAAAACATTTTTCGAAAAGGAGATTTTTTTAAAAAAATGTTATTTTTAATTTTTTTGCAAAAAAAATAAATAAATAAAAAAATAATAAAAAAATATATAATTTTTTCAGTAATTATATTCTGAAAACCTCAGCCTTTCATCCCCTCAGTGGGTCTATAAAACGAGTACCAAGCTTGCTTGGGAAATTAAAACAGGGGCTTTCGCGTCAGACTGACCACCTGACCGGAACATCTGCTCATGCACCTCAGGGCCCAAGGTCATATATACTGAGTTTGAGTTCGTCAGAGCCTTGGCCCTCAAGGGCTGCTCGCAGAATTCTGAGTAAAGTGTAAGTGCTCTGAAAACAATTTAATAGGTATATTCTAATGCAACCGATACTAAAAATCAACAAGCAATATATATAAAAAAATTATTAAGCCAATTCCTACTTAGCTCAACAAAGAAAATTTTTATTTTATTTACTTTTTATTAAATAATTACAATTAATATAAATATGTATATACATAGGACAGAATCGCAATATTTAAGTGACAAAATAGAAAGCGATTTTCCATTTTCCTTTCTGTTCAAAGAGTTGGCCTACTTTTTTTGTTTGTTACTATTTATTCATTAATTAAATTTAATTATTCTAATAAAATAGTATGGTATAAAAGAAATCACATTCTCAGAAATTAGGCCATCCCAGGTGGGATTCGAACCCACGACCTTTGGATTAGAAGCCCAACTCACTATCCATTGGGTTACAGGGATACAAAGAACGATTTTCCTTGTTATATATGGTGTTGGACTATAATTTTTTGTTTGGTACTATTTATCCATTTTTTAATTTAATTAATAAATTAAAACATTTGAAAAATACTGTATTATGAAGTGTTATCCACTCAAGTTTAAAAAAAAAAAATTTGAACTTGAATGGATGAATAGAAAGTATTTTATCAACGATTAAAAATTTGAACAAGATATATATATATATAAATAAACATATATAGGAGAGAGTGAACTAATAGTAGGAATTGTGAAAAAAGTTACACGATTTTTCAAAATCCCGGTTCCGAATGCTGTCAGTCACCTAAAAAAGTTATTCATATTTCTTAAGAATATCGTTCATTTATGATAAAAACGCCGACTAAAATTATTCATACTTAGTTTTATAAAATCATAAATGTGAAAAATTTAATAATTTTTTGCCTTTGCTTCCTCTATGTATTATGAAATTATTTATTGTCCTTCAGTTAATATGAGCCCAAAGACATTCTTTAGTTTTCAGACTTGTAATTCGAAGATAAAAAGAAAGACTTCTCTGGATAATCGATAAAAATAAAAATAGAAGCAGCGATCGAATGTCTCAGAACAAATATAAATCCCAGATAGTTTTTATTCATGGAATTATTCCTCTGAGTAAATAATAATAAGACGTAAAAATAAAATTCCTGCTTTATGCTGCTGAGAATCGGAGGTATTCGAAAATTAATATCAAAATTTTTCGTCGGATGAAAAATTTATTATTTTTCCCCCGAAAAAATTCATCGAAAATATCGGAATTTAACCTTTCCAGTTTTCGTTTTAGTATTTTTTTTGACTGCGCGCCAACCGACTGAAAATCTGAGATAAAATAATCGTCTGCTCGAACAAATTTAATTTTTAAATATCGGGTTTAATATAAAAAAAAGTTTTCCCTAAAAAACTAATTTTTCGTTACCGTAACCGCCCGGCTGCGGTTCCAGTAATGGCCCACGAATTGTTACATCACGAATAGCTTTCGTATTGCTTTGCAACACCACGCTAATAAACAATCATTCAAATAATCTGTGAAAAAGAACGTCTGCTAATGAATATCTAGTTTAAAAATACATGCTTACTTATCACGAATAATGTTTAACAACAAAAGAGCAGCTTTCAGATATTTTAGTTCGGAATGGATTCATATTATTTACGAATTTTTGTGTAAAGAATACTTAAAATAGTGTAAATAATTTATATCTGTGGATGTGTAATACGTTAAGGTAATCCGACTACGTTCAGGACGTGATTTTAAAAAGCGATGTAAATGGGTAATATTTATGATATTTAGTGTCACTTAGATTAGAATACGTAATATAAAATTGTTTTAAGGACATTATGACAAAAATTATTTAATTACAATATTTTGGCAAAATTAACTTAGAATAACCTTTTTCCAAATGTTCTCCTTTTTGTAAAATGCTTCCTGTACGTAATATTTTTGCCTGTATATAGCTCAGACCTCTGTACAGAGGCTCAACTATGATTTTTTTGAAAAATTCCATTATTTTTCAGGTTACAACCATTTGAAATAATTATCGGAGTATTTTCTTAAATTTCTCCTTCTGTGTTGTCGTAAAACATGGGACAGAGCAGATTTCCGAGTTATGCACTTCAAAATTTCTAGTGTCCTTAAAACAATTTTATACATGTATTCTAATCTAAGTGACACTAAATATCATAAATATTATCCATTTACATGCTTTTGCAAAATCCACGCGGTTCGAACGCGTAGTCGGATACCTTATATTACTCTATATTTGTATTACTTATTTTATGTTAAAAAGTGCAAATTTTCACAAGAAGCGCGCCGTTTCTTACATTATAGTAGCGGTTCAATGGAAACTTGACGAAATCTTGGCGATAGAGCCAAGTTGGCATCATTTTTGGCGCGTTTGCTATCCTATGGATTCTTCTGGAAATTAGTGTGGAGAAAACTACTAATATCAAAATCTGTGACGCAAGCGGATTTTCTCGAAGGATCCGTAAGGCCTATAAATAGGGTGACACTCGCCGAAACTAAATACAGTGGAGGGTCGCAAGCGGGCCATATGCCCGAAATAACAGCATCGTAGGCACCAGGAGTAAGTTAGTATTGTTTTGACTAACGATTAGTAGTCTTGCCTTGATCGTTGAAAGTTGACCAGCGATTACTTATGGATTACTTCAGGTGTTTTAGGGCGGTGCAGGTGCTTGTGAATAATCTTTTACATACTTGTATTTTAGACACTGATAGTTGTGTCTGAGTGCTGTTGAAGGTATGAAGACCTTCTGCTGAGATTTATTCTGCGAATATAGCTACTGTATTTCAAGGATTTTTTTTCCACAATAAACTACCATCCCTCCTGAAGAACTGTCTTCTTCGTTGTGACTGATTTGCATAAAATCCTCGAACCCGGATCTTCGTAACAATATTTATAATATCGATTTCTCAGTCACATGTTAGATTTCAATACACAAATAACCCAACAACAAAGGATTATATCGATACAGTGTTGAAAAGTAAAAGGATTAAAAAATCCAGACAATTTAAAGAACCTCTAATAAACAAGCATTTTATAAATGATGAATGCTGTATAAATTCTGCGGGAATTTCACAGTAACTTGGGAATTAACAGTAAGTGCTCGAGAATGTAGCTTCCTTAAGTACACTTTTACCCTTTGCGTTATAGAAATATTCTCACACAAGGTGTTGTTAAAGCAAGGGAGTTTTAATACAATTTAATAAAGCTCCTTTTAGGGAAGAAGCTAGAATTTGGCATCATTTCTCCCAAAGTATTAAATTTAGCACCTTCGAATCGCAAATTATGGAAGACTTAAAAGAAACTAATACACGTAAGAATAAATGAGCGTTCTCTAATATTGGTTACATATTTCGAGATTGTGGATATTATATCTTTATTTTTCCTTCAACAGCATGTTCTTTTTTAATGTACTATTAAATTCGATTATGTGATAATAGTAAAAGGGGCAAACATTTTTAGTAATAGAGAAAAATGGCGGAAAAAATAAAATTATAAAACGTAAAAAAAAATAAAATAATATATTCTGAAAATTCTCTTCAATGTTAATGAAATGAAAGAAAAGTTAAACATTCTCTCTTCACTTAGAATCTTTTTAGCTTAAAAAAAGGAGCTTACTGTATCATAATACAAAATTTTATTTATATGAAAAAAGTTAACATATACATGTTACACATACCTATGTTACATACGTTAACACATACCACCATATGGTACGCTATGTTTACATACCTATATTTACATACGTTAACATACCTATAGAATTGCATATGTTTACATACCACAATATTTACACACGTTAACATACCTATGTTGCATATGTTTACATACCTATGTTACACACGTTAACATACCTATGTTTCATAGCATTTTACATACCTATATTATTTACACACGTTAACATACCATATTTACATATGTTTACATACCTATATTTTACACGTTAACATGTACCTATATTTGCATATGTTTACATACCTATATTACACACGTTAACATACCTATGTTGCATATATGTTTACATACCTATATTTACACACGTTAACATACCTATGTTGCATATGAGCACATACCTATATTTGCATATGTTTACATACCTATATTACACACGTTAACATACCTAATTGCATATTTACATACCCTGTTACACCACGTTAACATACCTATATTTGCATATGTTTACATACCTATATTTACACGTTAACATACCTATGTTGCATATGTTTACATACCTATATTATTTACACACGTTAACATACCCACATATTTGCATATGTTTACATACACATATTTACACACGTTAACATACCTATGTTGCATATGTTTATATACCTATATTGTTACACATGTTAACATACCTATATTTGCATATGTTTACATACCTATATTACACACGTTAACATACCTATGTTACACGTTAACACACCTATGTTGCATATGTTTACATACCTATATTTACATACCTTAACATACCTATATTTGCATATGTTTACATACCTATATTTACACACGTTAACATACCTATGCTGCATATATGTTACATACCTATGTTACATGTTAACATACTTATGTTGCATATGTTTTATACTTATGTTACATATGTTAACATACCAGAACACATATGAAATGTATATTTCAGAGATAAACAACATTTTTCAATAAATTATTTTAAAAGTTTAAATTTTTAAAATGTTCCAATGTACAGAAATTTTATTATTACAAATTTTAATATCTTTGAAATATTTTGTTCTAATATTCTTACTTAGCGTTACTTTTAATTGAGTGAATGGTACTAGTAATATGAGAGATACTTTTATTTTTACACTTTTTTCATTATTAAGACACTATAAAAATAAGTAGCAATTCAAAAAATTTTCTTTTTTAAAGTCAGTTCCTATACTTAGGTCAACAAGAAAAATTTTAATTAAAGAGACATGGTACGTGATTTACGCAAAAATTTAATTTAAGGATTTTTTAAGAATTTTTTGAGTGCCTTCTATGTGAGTATACTATATAAAACAGATTTTGTGCTCAAAATTTCTACTTAAAAAGGATTATACCTGTTTTTAAGGAAAAACTTAAAAATTTTGTAGAAGTGATTTTAAAATGCTACTCCTCCTACAAAAAATTTACGTATTACATGCATGAAATTTGATTTATAAGTGCATATATAAGCTATTTATACTTAAAATTTGGTATGGATTTTTGCGATAACATGATTGGTATGCCCCACAATACACTCTTTTTATGAATATTTTGTGTGAAAATTCATAAAAATGTACAAATTCTGAGTTCAACTATTTTTAAAAACTAAGCATTACTTTGATTCAAAAATGCACCATAACTTTTGTTACATGTACATTTGGCAATTGGTAAAAATTTCAAAGATTGGGCTTAGTAGAAAAAAAAAGCCTTTTGCATTTTAAATGAGACAAATGAAATTATTTT